ATTTGCTCCAGGAGATCCTCAGCATTTGGAGTGGTTCAAGGCTGCTCCCCATGTGGTCACAAGCATTTGTCCTCCAGGAGCCTGGATCAAAAGCCAGGACTTGATGTGCTTTGGCGGTGCTACCACTGAGCTTTGGGGAAAGTGAAGGGGATGCTCATGCCAAACAACTCATCCTTGCCATTTTAGAAATCCAACACCAGCACAGGACCCCTAGCTCCTCGCCAGACCTGCTGTGGGGGCAGCCACAGCCCCCATCCTAGCACCCAAATCCTCTCCTGGGCTTACAGGGTGAAACACAAGCATGAAGCAAACAGCAAGATTAAGTCCATTAAATGAAGCACATGGTGTAATCCCCAGGAGCATCTGCCCAGCTCAGGCTGCAGACGCCTGGCAAGACCAGACCTCATCAGCAATTCCTACCTCAAACCTCTGCCCCCTCCAACCTAACATCACCCCCTTCCCACCCCTCTTCACAGGGCCAGCCTCTACAAAGGACTGGGCTAGGGTGGGCTGCACGTCCTGCTGACTGCCCCCATCACCTTTTTAAGATGCTTCAGCTGCCAACGAGGCTGATGACCAGACATGGAGCAAAAGAGACAGGGAGAGAAGGAAGCAAGCAGTGCCATAGGCAGGGCTTGGAAGTACTGAATCCAGCCCCCCAGGCTGCCCTGGGGCTCACCCCAGCCTGCCCACAGCACCCTTCCCCGTAGCCACCCCACAGCACCCTTCCCCATAGCCACCCCACTATCAAGCAGTGATGCTAAAGAGGCAAAGCCAAGAGCTGGAAGAGCCTCAGTCCCAGCTCTCCTTCCAGCGTGACCTCACCAGCCCACCCCCCAGCCTACACATTGCACATGGATCAAGGGACTCATGGACAGCAGATAATCCCTCAATCACTTAATTGCTTTAAAGGGAAACAAAACATAAAGCATTAAACATTTAAGGCAACAAGACCAAGTCACTCACCAGCCCGCGGAGGAGGGAGCAGCAACGTGCCAGCGCTGAGCAGCCAGACCCAGGGGCTCGGGGCACTAAAGCCACCCCAGACCACAGCAGCAGTGGAGCAGCAGCAGCATCCACTCTGCTTCCAGAGCCCACTCCCTCTGACGCCGTGCTATATATCAATTACTTAATCACCGAGTGAGGGATCCCAATCAGCACCCACTAATTATCCTAACGAAGCAGGCCTGCTTCTTTTAGTTGCTGATGAAGCAGATTGTGCTGAAGGGAGGGCTGTCCCCCGTCCTGTCCCCCCCAGCCCAGCCGATGGGGGTGGCAGTCAGCTCTCCTGCCTCCTGGCCTTGGGGCAGCTCCGCTGGCCCTGGCTTTGGCCAGAAGGATATGTGCACCCAGGTCACCGTGTCACTCAGTCTCGTGGGGGCCAATGCTCCCTCCCTGGGTGTGGGCAGGGACCTGGGTATTCCCACCCGCAGAGGCTGGGAAGCAGGGATGAACGCAGCAGAGGAGCCCCTGGGGTCCATCACGGCCAACGCCACGTGTCAGTCGCGTGTGCCACAGCCCTCTTCTGCAGCTGGGATCCCACCCGTGATGCAGGCTGCATCCCAGCTCAGCTCGGAGCACGCTGGCCTGATTCTGCACCCATCATGGCAGTGCTTCGCTGCTGGAGCGGCCTGGACACAGGGAGCTTGCCCACCACCACCAGCCAGCTGTCCCTGGCCCTCGGAGCAGGAAGGACATGATGGATGAGGCTCTTCTTGTAGGAGCAGACGATGGGACTGCGCTGGACAACAAGCCCATGTGCGGAGACAGGGATGGCTCCAGAGGTACAGAAGTGGCACGAGATCCTAGAAGCATTGGACAGAAAAAGTGTGTGAAGCACCAGGAGCCACACACGGGCACTGCACGTGCTGCAGGAACCACCAACTCCTGTAACGGAATGCTAAGAAATGCTCTCATTCATAAGCCACGCTTTTTTTTTTTTTTGTGAGGTCTGTTTGTATTTAATTATCAAATTGCAAAGTATTTACATCAACGTTAGAGTTTCAAAGCATCTCCACCCTCCACCACCCACAAAGCTGGACCTTTTCAGGTTTTTTTCCCAAAGTTTTATTATTATTCAAAAAAAAAAAAAAAAAAAGCTAAATATTTTACTCAGACACCAAAAAAGGCAGGTGGGAGGTGAGGGGAGCTGGGGAGAGAGACACAGATCCACATGTTCTCTGCATAGTCGGTTGGAGATTTTACAAAAACACTGTTTAAAAAAAATGGTAACAGCAGAGGAGCATAAATTGTCGGGCGTTACTGACTTCGGGAAGCCAAAGAGCATCCTTAGGTAGGGGCTCCCCTCTCGAGTTTATTGGCTTAAAAAATAAATTGGCAGACGACAATGGTGATAGAGGAGAGGCTCTTGATCCGCGGGGCCTCGAGTCCGGAGATGCTGGGTCCCACCGAAACCGCTGCACAGACACACGGACGGACACACAGACGCTTAGACATGCGTGTGCAGGGGGGCTCCTCCGGGACTCCTTTACTGTCTTCTTTAGCAGAGGTTGCCAAAAGCCACGGGGAGGGACGCCAGCCCGGGGGTTCCTCGCTCCGAGGGTGCGTTCCTGCCTCGCCGCTTGCCGGAAAGAGCCAGAAAATGAAAGCGCCGGGTTAAGCCCGTTCCTGTCCCGCTGTGCTGGTGCAAGACCCCGTACGTGCTGCAGACAACCAAAGGCCAAACCTGAAAACGTGCTGCTGCCTTCTCTCTCCCCAGCTTTCCGATCAAATCTGGCTTCTGTACATTAACAGGTTTAAGAGGTTTTTCCAGGGGATGGGGATTTTGTATAATTTAGGCAGAGCTATGGCACGGCCACCCCTCGGACCGGCTGTTGTGGGACGGGGCTTCTCTGGTGGCTGCCCATACCAGGGATGCCATAAACATGGAAAGACCCAGAACATCGAAGTTTGGAGAGTCCCTGCCCAAATGCAGGCACAGCAGATCTGCTAGGAAGGGGGGGAGAAAAGGCTCTGAGTCCTAAAACGATTCAAAAAAATCCATGAAACCAGTCTCGTTCTCCAAGCCAGC